GGTAGATTTCTCCCCGCCCCGCCCCACCTCCCCCCCCCCCGCCCCCCCCCCCCCCCCCCCCCCTCTCTCTCTCTCTCTCTCTCTCTCTCTCTCTCTCTCTCTCTCTCTCTCTCTTCCGACTTTATCAAAGTGATAGTAGCCCAAGTTTCCGATGCCCGCGAGAGAGCTACGATCATGAGAGATGAACGTTGCGCAAGTCGACAAACCGATCTTCAGATGATGTATACAGCCATGCAAACGCAGTGCTGTCCATGACCGTCACCGAACGGTGACCCTAATCACACTATAATATACATTGAAGATCAGTACTTCAACGAATCAGAGAGCTAGTGCTGCTACTGCTGCTCACACAAGCAAAGTAAAGCAAGCAAGCCAACGAACAACCGACAAACCAGATGATCGTCGGCCGGTGCATGGCGCCCATCTTTGCCATGCGCATTGTACTCATTCCTCCCCGCCAAAAACACAAAAAAAAAAAACAAGGGAAAGGTAACAAACACCCGTCAACATCGACGAGATGCCCCCACGAGCCGACGAGATCAAAATGCCCCCGACGTACTCAACTCAAATAGAGACGAGATGGGAGTGCCCAGCCATAGTCTGTCTGACCTGTGCCCCGCACGGAAATAATGGGAGTGCCCAGCCGACGGAAGAAAGATAACAAAAACCGACGTCATGGAAATGATCAGAAGCCAATTAACCATAAAAATAAAAACGAAATGATCCCAAGTAATAGCAAATCTGAGGCAAAGACGAAGCAATCTGGCATATAGTCTGATATCCAACGTGTCATCCTCCGGCGAAATCGGACGTGTTCCGAACGCTTGGCTTAAGTCTAAACATAATCTAAAACCTTCTGACAATCCGTGAGTTAGTGATATGAAAAGATTGATCTTACTAGAAAACAGAAAAAGAGATTGACCTAAAAAAAAAAACAAACAAAAAACACCAGAAAAAGAGATTGACCTCCGTGTATAAGAGATGTACTGTAATTCGACAAGGCATCCGATGACGTGGTGCAACCTCGATGACGTGGTACAATCTGGGACTTGGCGTATCTGGCACGCGCGGAATGTACGAGAACGGATTAAGTAGTAGAGCCTATCAAGCAAAAAAGAGGCAATAATAGTACGTCAACCTGTCCCTCCACCTGCCAAAGATCGAATTTTCCCGCACAAAGATCGAATTCTCCCGCGAAAAGATCGAAAGATCGAATTTTCCCGCGAAAAGATCGAATTCTCCCGCGAAAAGATCGAATTTTCCCGCGCAAACATGTACACGATGACAATCCAGCCTGTCTGTCTGTCACCTGCTCCCTCGCTCGCCTACTCTAGACGTCGACAGAGTCTGCTTCTGGTCAGGAAGGTAAGTTAAGCCGACAATGCGTCTGACAATTGCACGCATGCGCCCATGCAATGTGTTTGACAATTGCACGCATGCGTTTGACAATGCGCGATCAGCCAGGCATCGCGCGGACGTACCTCCACATCAGCTTCCCGTCTGTCTGTCTGTCGATGGAAGCAGATCAGGCGACACCGGATGCGAAAATCTATGAAGCACTTCAACCCCCGATCGAAGTACTGCGCCCCGTCGAGCGCCAGCAAACGCACTTCGGCGCTCGACAAAAAGAAAAGAAGAAGGCCACTACAGTAATACGGTTACCAGTGGTTTCCCTCCGCAAAGCGAAAGCGAAGGGGTTTGCTGAAACAATCGCGTCCAGTCACTTTGCCAGAGTTCAGCCTACCATGTCAGTCTCTTTTTCCGATCGACCATCCCGTCACTCTGCCTGCATCTCGGTCCACGTGCTGTCAACCCGCCTGTAGCCGGACCTGCTACTCTCAGTGGCACAGAACGCGACCCGCCTGTATCCCGGCCTGCTACTCTGCCAGGCCTGCTACTCTGTCAGTGGCACAGAACGCGTGCGCGTCGTTCTGACATGGCTCTGAAGAACTAACGCGCATCACCGAGATCGGTTTCGTCAAAAAAAAAAAAAAAAAAAAAAAGACCGGCTTCATCGCAATCTGTCAGTCGTACACTCCGTTAGTCAAACTCTACTCAAAGCATAAGGCGCCACAAAGAGGTGGGATCAGGATAACTAAAACCTCCCCCCTCCCTCCCCCTCTCCCTCCCTTCCCTCTCCCTCCCCTTCTTTCCCCCTAAACTACCCTCCCCCACATCCCCTACTTTATGGAGTAGTCATCGTGCTCTCAATCTGCTCAAAGAATAGACGAGGATCAGGTTACCAGAACCCCCCATTTTGACTGCATCGGACCGGAAAGACGGCTTGTGTACGTTCATTTTCAGCGTGCGTTATGTTCGGGGCAAGGGGAAGACGGTAGTATGTTCTTTTTCCCGCACCCGCAGTTCGCTCACGCTATAAGTGCCGCCACGGTGCACAGGCATCCGTCTGCGATCTTACTGCAAGCCGCGTAAGATCCCGTCCGCTATTTCCCATGTGGCCCACACGAGACCGGCATCCCCACTCCTTCCTCCGTCCGCACCCTCGTCTCTTTAGTCTTCACGGATGACCCCTGCGCGTGACACGACAACAACAATTGCAAGGAGAAGAAATAAGGCGGCTTTCAACCTATACGCACAGAGTTGGGCCACATCAGCGTCCACTTCCCATCCTCTTTACTCCTCTTGAGTGTACCAGGCGGAATCTTCCAGCCCTTGAACACAACTCCCTCCTCCTCCTCCTCGGCAGCTTCCGCACCCCTCAAGCTGGGTCCCCTGTCCCAACCACCTCTACCTCGACTCTCCCTCCCACGTGGCAATACCGACCCCGAGTGCACCTGCCTACCATAAAGCGTCCTCGGTCCATCACCGCCGGGCTGCGCGTCGTCCTCTGCACGCATGCCCGCTGTCTCTTTCTGCCTCCCCTGCCAAGGCCCAGAACTCAAGCCATGGGACGACGAGTACCACCACCCAGTACAGCCTGCGCTTGCTCTGCACAGACACCAGATCAAGGCTGTCATTAACAAAGCAGACACGACCGCGCAAAACCCAATCATGTGTATTACGCCGACATCAAAGCTGCCGCCCAACAGGGTCACATTCGTTACTTTGCAGGGAAGCCGTAGGAGAAGCAGCGACTGTGACGGATGGGTGGCATCCACAACACCGTTCTTGGTGCTAAAAAAACTGCCACATGGCAGGGCCGTCTCCTCCCGATCATTCCCCTCGAGATCCCCCTTTCCCTCTTCCTCTTTTTCCTCTTCCTCCTCCCTCTCCTCCCCGCCCTCCTTGGATTTGGTCTCCAGGCGGTCAAACACTCTGTTGATCTTGCCTTCGTCGGGATCGTGCTTCTTCAGCACAGATAGCAGCTCCGAGGGTGCCGCCGGCCCATTGCCGCGGAGAGGCGCAGCAGTCACTTCGATCAACTCTCCCCTCTGCGTCGCGATGACCACGCGCGTCGTTGCGCGCGAGTCCACGGAGACAGCCACAACCCTTCCATTGCACAGCACCTCTTCTTCCCAACCTCCGCCTCTGACGCTAGCGCTGACGTTCGTGCTGTTGATGCACTCTCCCTCATCCCAGGTGCCCAATAACGACAACTGCTGTACCTTCGTTGCGCCCGTTGAACGGCTCTCGACCTCATTACTGCCTTTACCACTGCCCTCCGTATACCCGTGACCGATATTCGTCATTACCGAGGAAAAGCCCGCGGAAGAAGTAGGATAAGAAGATGATGAAGAGGAGGTACGAGAAGAGGAGGAAGATGCTGTACCGGACACAGAGAATAGGTGGCCATGCTCCTCCTCCTCCTCCTCCTCCTCACCCTTTGCTTGATTCGCGATAACAGAGTACAGTGACAGGACTCGACGGGAACCTGCCTCGTTCCACGTGGCAAGCACTTGATCATCGTCGCTCAGCGCCACCAACGCACGCGCTCCGGACTCTATCTTCTTCTGTGCGCCTTCTTCTTTCGCTATCGCCGCTGCGGCAGGATTGCGCGCACCATCCCCCCCCCGCTCTTTCTCCGGACCGCTCCCCCTCTCAGACATTGCCCTTTCCCGCTTCTTTTCCGATCCCGACTCGACCCGCTCGGTCCCCTTTCTATTACTACTAGCAAACAGACCGAAGCGTACAACGACGTCCCGAGAAGAGTCCACCACCCATCCCCACCGGCCGCTAGAGGACAGTGCCAGTGATCCCAAGGGAGCGCACAGAGCACAGCCGCTCGCGCACGCTCTCATAGTCACCTCGGCCTGCCCCGTGAGCAAATCCACTGCCACCAACCCTCTCCGCGTCGTCGCATACAGTATCTCGCGCTTTCCGTCTACCGCCACGTCAGCCGGCCCATCCAGATCCGGACTCGAAGCCACGCACCAGACGGTGGTAGCAGGAGCTCCGAAGGGGCGTGTCCTCTCCGCACTCGGCGACAGAGAAACGGCCAAGATAGAACGAGTACGTGCGTCCGCCACGTAAGCAACGGTCCCGTTGGCAGAGATCGCGATCGCTGTCGGGTCTGACAGGTGCCGATCCAGAGGCAGCGGTGGTGACGACACCCATTCATCGGGGTCAACGCCCGTCTCCGCACGATTGCCTCTCCGGCTTTTCCTAGTCAATAAAACCAATGCAGAAAATAAAGGCGAAGTTGCACCGGAATCGCTACGGGTGTTGGCGCTACTGGTGGTGGCCGTAGTAGTATTGGTGGTGGTAATAGTTCTAGTGGTACTAGAAGTACTATTGGTGGTGGTAGTAGTTCTAGTGGTACTAGAAGTAGCAGCACTGGTTGCTGCAGTAGCAGCACTAGAACGAGTAGTAGAAGCTTTAGGAGAAGGCGGAGGAGAAACTCTTTGTATAGGGATGTTCTGCGTATCCATGTCTGCAGTAATGCTCATCTCACCTCTGTAGGCAGACGCCGATACCAAGATTGGCGATTGCAAACGACGGTCGTTGGATTCTTCGGTATGTGGGATGTTATCCCACGCCCTGACAGCATCAGCATCGCCACCGCTTTTATGGTCGTCGTCAACGACGCCGGCACCACCGACACCCCGCTCATCTTCCAGAATCCGACTCGTGGATGAAAGCTCATTGATCGTGCGTCGAACGTCTTCGTCTTCTTCTCCGACACTCGCGGGATCCGATGCACCCCTCAGCGGGTACGCCAGTGCCGAGTCGTCACGAGTGCAAACGAGAAGCAAGACGAGAAGAAACGACGAGCCTTCTTCGCTTCTCGTAAGCGACGTCGCTCTGATCTCCAAAGAAGACTCGTTACATGCGGCGATGATATCCCTAGATATTGTCGAGATCCGGCCCACCATCGCCAGCAGCAATGACTGTCTCTCTGCCGCATCGGTGGCTTCGACATTCATTGCTCTGGTTCCAGTCCGTCTCACAAGCGCCTTCAGCAGTTGTTGCCTCGTTTTAGCCGTCGCGCCCTTGCCCTGATCAGGTCTACCGCTCTGTAGCTGTCCGTCTGGCGTCGTGCGTCGCTTTGTCGTTGTCCCCATGTCGCCATCGCCGCGATTCTTCCGGCCGCCTGGTCGATTTCGCTGCCAAGGAGTAGTCATCAGGGGTTCGATCTCTCCACGTCCGCCCCATGATGCTCTCGCTCTTGTGCCTGTGGCCGCCCCCACTTCACCGCCGCCCTCCGAATCTTCTTCCCTAATCGTCCCCGCTACATCTACTCCCGTTGTGCGTAGCGATGGCTGTTGTGCCTGCTCCCTCTCCAATTTCAACGATAGTACTGCAGTGATTGACAGCAGCAGAAGTAATACTTGCCCAAGCAGCACGTCTGTCGCCCAGAACCGGCGACTTCCACTCCTTCCTCTTCTTCCCATCCCGTCATTCGCAAAGGTGTCCGCGATCCGTGCGCCAGCTGTCCAAGTCCACGTGTCTGCTACCTGCGATCAACGTGTCGTTCGTGTATTCGGTTCTACGTGTCTGCTGTTAGGACTTTCTACGATCCACGCGTCGGCTATTCGCTTGCACGACTCCCGTTTCGTTCCGATCATCACCAGCTACTTTGTGTACTTCGTGCCCTCGCCCACCTTACACGCACGACGCAACCCACTCATTCCGTCTCCAAACAGCGGCGCCATAGCCAGCCATCGTTCAGCTCTCCACTGGCCACTACTCTTGCTCGCACTGCCATGTGGTCTCTCACGTGAACAGCGTCCCGATTCCTCGTGTGAACAGCGATTTCAATAATATTCGCCCGTCTGTCAATAATCATGGACGCAAGTGGAAAATAGCACATCGTAACGTCCGAGAACTTTTACTAATACCCCTTCTGACCATGACATACATAATGCAGTGACCTGAGTTGTTTCGCAGTCCGTACGGCTCCAATACCCGCCGTACCCGCCGTACCCGCCGGCGTTTGTCATGTTGCCTCGTAGGGCGGCGGGTCGTCCGTCATGTTATGACGGGTAGATCACGCGGGGCATCAGCGGGGTTGGGCCCCTGGTCGGTCGGGGGACGGGCGGACGGCGCCGTCAGTCAGCTTATCTATACTGGTCTGTATTGGTATCAGTTAGCAAACCCATGGCTCATTTGGTGCGTGTATCTTCCCACGCCCTAGCGGATTATACGTTCTCCATTTTTTTTCGCTGAGTAGTGCGTCCAGGACCTTCGACCTGCGACGCCGCTGCCGCTAAGCGAATGCTATGAGACGCGTGCTGCGATGAGGCTGCTACGCCCTCTCCGACCCTGCGCGTGGAGCCCTATAGACTCTGCTCGTCGGCCCCTCTGGAATCTGCGCGCGGAGCCCTCTCGACTACTGTTATACCGCGTTCCACGCGGGGACGCCGCCATTCGGGTAGCATGTGTCGTGTTCCAGACAGTAAGCTTGTTAAAGGTCTTCTCAAGTGAGGGGACGGTCAGCCTTCTGGATTTGGCAGGCTAGGGCCAGAAGTTGTGGTAGCCCTGACGTTGCATATGTTAGACCTTGGCCAGGGGGCCAGGCGATTAGACACTGCCCCTGTGATACCTAGAACTGCATTCCTCATACCTAGAAGTGCATTCCTCATATCGGGTTGCAATAGCATGTTAATACCACCACGCGACCTTCAATGCGCTGCATCGGACGGGGGTCGGGGAACCAACGACTGGTAATGAAAAATGAAAGGGGTAACTTAAGTAGAGTCACAAAAACGAGTTATAATTGCAGTATGGGGCAAGATACAGTTTGCAATTGCACTTCGGGCACCCTACCTGGCCAGAAAGCTGGTTTGTATACATTGCCCCAACTGCAATTGCAAACTGTATCTTGGCCCATACTGCAATTATAACTCGTTTTTCTGACTCCCGTGTAGTTTCCCCAAATTAAAATAAATCGAATGTTGAAAAAAATAAAACGAAAGGGGACAACGGGGGCAGCAGGGCGGGAGAGAGAGAGAGAGAGAGAGAGAGAGAGCCGGCCCATTCGACGTGGCTACGCACCGGCTCTCTCTCTCTCTCTCGGCCCGTTCGACGTGGCAACGCACCGGCTGTCTCTCTCTCTCCCACCCGGTGTATTTCTTTGTTTCTCTTTTTTTCTTTTCGGAGGCTGGTTCGTTTTCTTTTTTTTACTTTCGTTTTTTGGTTTTCGAAAAATGAAGAAAAACCTGTTTTCGAAAAATGAAGAAAAACCTGCTACCCGTAGCTCTAGGCTCGGCAAGGCTCGGCTTACCGGTAGCGGGAGGCTTGGACTCRATAGCTGGGCGAGGTACTGGTGGTTTMAACCACCAGTACCTCTCTCAGCTATTGATGCCGAKTCTAAAAATGCCCTGSGAGCCAATTTTTGTCGAGCCTGCAAGTGAAAGGTACCAGCACAAGGGAAAAAGAGGGCGGTTCCGGTACCCTCCTCTCTGAAACCCTTCTGCTGGACCTCTGACCAGCAGAGGGAATACAAAGAAGGTCGTCGTTTTCACGCACGAAAAAGAAAAGAAGTGAAAAAAAAAAAAAAGAAAGACGCCGAAGGCATTCAAGTGCTTCCCACCTCTGACGGGAGTCTTTTTTTTAATCTGGACTCTGGAGAGGACAGCGGCCTTTCCGGTCTTTTTTATTTTGCATTGTAGTATTACTGTGGGAACCCCGTAGCAGTCAGCCCGTGTTCAAGCCTCCAACGACGGAACATGGGCGGGTTGCACTCTAGTTGCAGGTGGGTGATACCGGCCAGGGGTCAGCCGGTAGCATTAGGACCAAGCTTCTTCAATGGGTCAGTCGCTGTGCCTCCCCTCCAGTCTCCTCCCCCTACAAACATTAGCAGTCACTGATCAATGCCACTCTCGGGGACCAAGGGGCTCTCTCTCGGTTGCAGCCGCCAAGCTTGAGCAGGAAGGTACATGAGCCGAATGGGGATTGAGCCCGACCTCCTGAATGCCACTCGCGTCCCTTACCTTACCAGCAGTTGATCGACCGGGAGCCCCTGATAAACAACAGAGATTCTGTTTCCTCAGGAAAGAAAAAAAAGTGTCCAGTTGATGTAGCTCAGTGGTTAGAGCACCGGTTGGAAATGCGCATTGTGGTATGAGGTTGCGGTTGCAGCCTTGCGCATGGACAACGGCAGGGCGTTAGAATGACGCACAGATGGACACACATTCCCTTGGGCTGACACATGGTAAGCTTATGCAGACACTGCCTGTGCACCACCCAAGGGTTGTCCATGGTGTTGTATGTCGGGTCTTGATACTGCGTGGGTTGCTTGTGGCTGTTGCTCGTGGTTGTTCTGAAGATCTCCCCAGTCACGGGTTCGAGTCTGGCTTGGGAGTTTGGGGGGGGTTCTTATCCAGCTTGGCCGGTCATCTCTTGAAATGAACACAGAGTTCCCTCTACATAGTACTGCACATATCTGGCCTTCGGGCACATACATCTCGCTATACAGTTAGACAGAGCACACATGCCCTTCGGGCAGATACACAAACACATGGCCCTATGGGCTCATACAAACATACATAGCCTCTGGCCATACACACATACACACAACTACGATACTGGGCAGGGGGGGTATATCAGGTATATGACGGGGTCTCCTCACGCATGGCTTAGCTCTAGGGTAGGAGTAGGGATATAAGTCGCTCCGGCTAGTCTGAGTTCCGCCTAGCCTTGGGTAAGCTAGGGGAAGGACGGTAGGATGTGTCCGCTGGCCTGACTTGCTTAGGTAATCCTGCTGGGTAGACTCTCTGAATTGGGCCTGCAGAAGATTGCATGAGCCTGGCGTCCGAAGTTCCCGTACGGCAAGGTTCGTCCGGTTCTGCTTCCATCAGGGTTGGGAGGTTGGCCCAGCCTTGGTGGTTGTCACTGCTGTCTGCTCCAAGTTGCCCTCGATACTGGTAGGGCGATGGTCCTGAGTGCTGGTCACAGTGAGGTAGGATAGTAGTGACAGGGGGTGCGCTGAGAGTATTAACGTTGGGATGGGTAGGGTAGGTGACCTATCCTGTCAGGACATCCATTGGCTGCCGCTACCAGGAATCACTGCGGGTCTGGTCCTTGGCCTCTAAAACACCCTAAGAAAAAAAAATAAAAAAAAAATAAAAGAAAGAAAAATAAAAAAAGGAAAGAAAAAATAATAAAAAGTTAAAAAATGAATAGCGAGCTACTGAGGCCTTATCGTACCACCTCATGCCTGGCCAGAGGTACAATCATATGCATTGTGGACAGGGCTTCCTGAGAATGCCTTGAAAAGAAGGGGATTGTGGACAGGGCTGCGTGAGAATGCCTTGAAAAGAAGGGGGCTGACAAAAGCAATAGGGCGTCCTCCCACTACTCTCGACATGCTCAAAAGACACAAACCATGGCCGTGTATCTTTCCATGTTCTAGCGGAAAATTGWTTCTCATTTTGCACGAGGCCCATAGATTGTTCCCCCCGCCTCTCCCGCGGAGTCACGTGAGAAACAGAAGACATTCTTCTTCCGAAAAGAAAAAAGAAAAAAAACAAAGGCAAAATGGCATTTCAACCTCTGAACTACTTGACGTGTTTCTACCCATGTTCTACAAGACTATTCATTCTCATTTTGCACATTCGGTGAGTCATGGAGCCAGGCCCTAGATCTCGATAGCTCTTTTTTTACCTTTTTGTAGTAAGCCCTGTCAACAAGGCCGGGCACTCCCTTCTCATTTTTCGACACTTCGTAGCAGTACACAGATGAATGCTTTCCATGTTTCTCGGGAGATGCAGTTCAAACTAAAAAAAAAACAAAAGCAGAAACGCCCCAGGCCCAAATCGTCCGCCCCTATTTTGAAACAGGAAAAAATGCCACCCCTCAAAAGGGAAACTGTGGACGGCGCCTTATGCTGCTTTTCGAACGACCTGGACAAGCTAACCTGCCCTGTGACCGGTCTTAGGGACGACTGCGACCGGACACTTTTTCTGCTTTCGGAAACCCCAAACGGACCCATCCTAGCAACGTTGTACTGCACGATATTACCCAAAATGGAAAGGACATGAAACGACGAAATGCAAACCACACAAGGCGCAGCCTCCTGGTTGGGAACTGGGTATTACTGGTGGCATGTTTTTTTCGGGGGGGGGGGGGGGGGGGGGGGGGGGGGGGGGGGGGGTTGTTGTTTTTGTTTTTTGTTTTGTTTTTTTTTCGTTTTTTTTCCCTGGGTTCCTGAGGCCAAGGTCGCCGGTTCGAGGAAGGGGAGCGCCGGTACCGGGCGGGTAGCGTAGCGCTCCGCTACCGGGCGTTGCCGCAGGTTTTTTTTACGCTGCGCTGTTCACCGTCAACCCCGCCGCCATGACGGGGAACGGTATGGCTGCTGCTACACCCCTCAACGTGGGTGGAGGAACTCGCTCTCTCATAGCCAAGCACCTGCTGAACAGTCCTAGTAGGTAGAGTAGGGTAGGAGGAAGAAGGTTGAAGGAGGAAGAGACTGGAGAAAGGAAGAAAAGTCGAGCAGTCAACACACCTGGAAAACTACGACAAAGTCACACCCTAGGGTAAAGGGGAGCGAAGAAAAGGAGAAGGGATGGCGTCCCGACGGCACTAAGGAAGTCAGGAGAGACAACAACCACGGGGACCACCCGACCCGAGAGGTGAGGACGACAGAGTACGCAACTCTGTAGGGCGCTGTTGTGATGAAGGTATCTGCCCGGATGACCTGGACATCGGTGAAGTGGTCGAAGACGAGAACGGGAAAAGGTTCGTAGTCAATAGTGCGGTGGAAGAAATAAAAAAGTAGTGGTTAAAAGAGTGTACGGTAATCCTGATTTTTCAAGAAGAGGTAAAGAAACTATCGAGATCAATGAAAGAGGATTTAGTGAGGGCCTACAAAGACGGGTGGTTGGCTGAGAGGCGTTTTCATCCTGACGTGCGCAGAGGAAGAGTGAGCTTTGAAGGAGCCAACG